GCATCTCAGTAACTATATCCAGGGGAACTATTGGATTTGAGGGGACTTGAAAGACATGGGGACACTATTAGTTAGAGACAAAGTAGTCAAGGGGTTAAGTATTGGACTCTCTAAACCCCCAGGTAATGGCTTTACTTTCCCTGTTATGAATGCCCTGTCTAATATGATAGCCACAAGCCACATGTGGCTATTTAAGTATAAACTGATTAAAAAGAAATAAAGTTTAAAAATTAGTCTCCAGTCACACTTACCACAGTTCAAATGCTCAATAGCCACATGCCACTAGTGGTTACTATAATGGGTAGCACAGATATGGAACATTTCTATTATCACAGAAAGTTCTATTGGAAAGCTATTTTAAAAGTGACATTTAAGTTTAGGGCAAAGATAGAAATAAATTGTTTGCCAATCTTTTTCTGAATTCTTGTACCTGTAACAGAAAAAAAATGAAATGTTTTCAAGTAAATATGAGAGAAGGAAATCATAGGCAATTCAATATATTTTTACTTGCATTGATGGCAGTGATAATTTTATTGAACACTTCTACACTTGAATTATATTATTTAATTTGCACTCACACATAGTCGATGAAATGCATTTTTTTTTCTATGTGCGTTGAATAGAAGCTGAGAGTGAGGCACAGAAACATTAAGTATGAGAGTGAGGCACAGAAACATTAAGTAATCTGTCCAAAGTACCATAGCAAGAAGGTGACATAGCTGAGTTTGAACTCAGGTAATTGAATTCCAAACCCTAGCAGGTGATTAACCTAAGAGGTAATGGATGATTGAATTAAAAGATTTTAGAAGTAAATTTAAAATCTTTCTTTTTATTTCAACATAATTTGGTTGTTGTTTTGAGGGAATGGGGAGGACACTTTCAGATTTCAAACCATCCATTCTCTTGTATGTTCATCATTCAATTCATAAGTATTAGTATAGAGGCTGAGAATATATAACTTAGGTTAATTCCGCTGAGAGATAAAAGGATAAACATTAGACTATCAATATTAGAAAAATTAACATGAAATCTAAAAAGAAATAATACAAATAAACTTGTTTGCAAGGCAGAAATAGACCCACAGACATAGAAAACAAACCTGTGATTACCAGGGGGGAAGAGGAGAGAGAGATGAATTGGGAATTTGCGATTAGCATATACACACTGCTATACATAGAGCAGATAACCAACCTGCTGGATAGCATAGGGAGATATACTCAGCATTTTGTAGTAGCCTATAAGGGAAAAGAATCTGAAAAAGAATATGTGTGTGTGTGTGTGTGTGTGTGTGTGTGTGAGAGAGAGATAACTGAATCACTTGAAACTAACAACATTGTAAATCAACTACATTTCAATTTAAAAAAAAGAAAGAAAAATTAACATGTATCCTACTTGTACATGATTCTAATGTTTTATTGGTAGTCATTTCTCCTTTTGCTAGCACAAAATATTGAAACCTATACCATGGAGGCTGGAGGACGGTAGCATGACTTTTGCTAGTGAGTAAGCGAGTCTAAATTTCTACCCAATCTCAGCTCAGCTTGGCAACTCTTCTCAACTCATTCCATATTCAGTAACTTTCAAAAAATGTTCAAAGGTTTTATTATATTTTTCAGTTACACTTTTCTTAATTTATGGGAAGCATTTTATGTGTGCTATAAATTTAGTGAATTTTGAAGGCCCTGGAAACATGTCCCTTGGAGATATAAAATCTCTAAGGCAGAGTGTTTGCTCCTGCCCTCACGTTGATTATGATCTAGTGTGAGGGGTGAAATCTAACCATTCATTCGTGTATTCATCAATCAGGTTCTGAGGACATAATATATAGCAGCATTGTCTGGAAAAACTCATCTGAGTAAATAATTAGAGATGGTATATAATTTAAATGCCATAGGAGTTCTTTGGAGAGTTAAGCAGTAAAGGGGAAACTAATATGGAAGATGAGCTATATGTGGAGGTTCTCTTTTACATCCCTAGTTCTTTACATCTGAAGTATTCCTCTCCTTATCTGTGGTCAATTTTTTAGCTATTCAAGTAGACACCCTCATAATTACTCAAGACAGCTCTCTATTCTAAACCTCTTCTTCCAGATTTTTGTGGCAAGGTGAAAGCTGATTTTATTCAATACATCAATTTGCTTTTATTTTATTTACTGATATTAAAGAAGAGATTCAGAGCTGTCATTTTTCCTAGGACTTTCATGAGAACCTAGAGAAATTAATAATTTTTAAAAAATAACAGAACTTGGAGAGATATACAGTAATTGCTAAGGTTTTTGGAACTGTATGAATATTTTTGTGTAAAATATGTCAAAAAATATTTATAAGTTCCAAAGGTATTGAGTACTGATATTATCAAATCATTTGTTCTTTAATTCAAGTGAAATATGACATCTGCTCTAAGACTCTTATGTATAAATGGCACAGCAACCTTGGGAAGACTGTTGACCCTTTGATTTTTGGTTGGTATGCAGCCAGGAAGAATATTGGATTCTACAAGCTATGAGCTATGTCCCTTGGTGGATTAAGTGTCAAATCAATCTAGCTTCTCTGGTGCAATCTGGATATTGTATTCCTTTTTGCCATGAAAACCATGCACGTCATGTCCTTTGGCATGCCCTTATATATGTCAAGTATTTTATAGTTCCTAGGTTACAGTTCCTGTGTGCAAACTCATTCATCAGTTTGAAGTGGTTTCACAAGGTATTTTTTCCCCACCCAGGGATAGAGGTGGTAGATTTTAAAATGGCTTAGTGTTTTGACTCTATGTTCTTTTCCTATTTGCATCATAAAGAAGCTTTACAGTCACCTCTTGAAGACTTTTTTTCAGCAGATCTTTTTGTTATGTTTTGGCTGACATGATTTACCTTATTTGATTATTTAATTGGAAAATGTTGATAAAATGTAAAAGTCACTCAAAATCCTACTACATATTTTGGAAATAAGATATAAATGATTCTCTGGGCATCAATCACCTTCCTCAAAGGTACTTACTATCAATCTGATGGATGTCCTCCTTGAATTCTTCCTAAATGAATGTTATATAAATAAATACAATATTCATATTTATAATACAACATATTTATATGCAATTTAACTTTATATATGACCATCTATACTGTGTGTGTATGTACATATACATGCACCAGTATGTATATGCATACACACACATCATAAAATGAAATTGCAGTGTACATATGTGTTTGCAAATTATTGGTTTCTGCTTAAGAGTATATACTGCACATTTTTATGGTCCAACACATATATATTTATCTTATTCTTTTTAAATTATTGCACAGAGTTCCACTGTATTTGTATACTTTATATTATTCAACCAGCCCTTTCTTGACACATTCTATGTCTATTTTTTTCCTATTCAATCAGTGTTGCAACAAATATACCTGTCCATATATTTTAAAGTAATAATACTATTATATTTGCAAGATATATTTTTAGGAGTAAATTGCTAGATTTAGGGACATATGATTTTTAATTTTAATAAATATTGACTAATTGATGTTCATGAATATTTTATAAAGGGGACATTAAACTATGCTATTTCTTATTGTTTTTTACAATTCATATAGGAAAGCATTTCTTTGGAAACCACTACTTAACCAAATTGGTTAAGGGGTATTGTTATATGTATATATAAATATATGTGTATTCATGCAAAAATTTTTTTATGTCTAAGCCTAAAACAAATTCAGTCAGCAGCAAAGAGATGGATCTTTGCTATTGGGCAGACACAGTCTTTGAGTGATGTAGTAACTGAATATTTTATTTATGTAGCCATAAAATCCCTGGACAGAAAAAGCCCTAGTAATAGTTTGATGATAGTAGGCTTCACCAGTACACCAAGACCACTATTTCATTTTTTTATAACCATCTTTGTAAATGACCTCAACAATCCACAACATTTTGTTTATATTTTCTTGTTCACAGAGAATAGAGGAAATAACCCTATCTGTGAATTGAAATCACAAAATGCTTCTCCCTTGATCTTTTTGCTCTCAGAGGCAAAGCTCTATTTAGCCCAGATCATCCAAATACTTGGCTCAGTCTTTCACATCACATAGAATCACATTCTGTGACTTCATGGAATGCCGTGAAAACTGGTTATATTCTTTTAAAGGAAAAAACCTCACACAACTCTTTACAACATTTGGTATGGTAAGGGAGATTTCCAGGACTAAAATTTTATGAGGCTGATAATAGAAAAGTCTATCCAGGTTCACACACTCCCTTTTCTTAAGCATTTTCTTATCCTGGAAGAGAAATGATGCAGAATGTAAACATGTTTCAAGGTCAGATAGCAGAAATCCAACCAGAATTATTTTTATATTACATAAGAGAGCAATAATCTATGGTTTAAAAGGAAATAGTCTGGAAGAATGATGGTAAAATGTTATTGTTAAAAGATAAAAATTTTTAATATTTCCTTTTCTTAGTATTGGTGATAGAGAATTATAGATGTTAGACAATTCTGCTGCTTTCTTTTGACTTTATAATTCTATTGTAATTTTTATTGTGTGTGTGTGTATGTATACACATAAAAATGCAGGTGTGTGTGTTACACTTGATCTATATTCATATACTGCATTTGTGTTTCATTCTTCTTTCACAAGTGAGAAATTCATTTATACATACTTTATGAGAAATACTGACAGAATACTTAGATGAAAGAGAAGGCCAAAAAAAAAAAAAAAATAGTAGAAGAGAAAGAATAGAGGCAGTCTGAGCCAGGGAAGGGGTTTATGTATGTTTACTTCTAGATACTAAAAAGGCAAGTATATGTTTACAGGCACAGATTTTCCTAGTCTCTTAATTAAGAACTAAGTTTCATTTGAGTTTCATGTCCTTTCCTATTGTTCTTTACAAACCTATTTATTGACATAAGATTGTACCAGAGCGTTTTGTTGAAAACATAAATGTACACTTAATGTGTCACTGTGATGACTGCCAGATATTCCACCAGAGTGAGATTTCTTTGTTTTTCAGAAGCTGCCCTTAAAGAAGATTCCATGCAAGGCCAGTGCACCCTCAGGATCCTTTTTTGCCAGAGACAATACAGCAAACTTCTTATCCTGGTGCCGAGATTTAGGGGTAGATGAAACATGTCTGTTTGAATCGGAAGGTTTGGGTATGTACATTTCCTTCAGCATTTTAGCTGATATAATATTAAAATTATTGTTTGTATGTATAACTCTCAAGCCTAACTTTTTTTGTGTGATGTCATTTCATGCTTTGTTAACTTAAAAAAATTGTAGTTTGTTGTAAACTTGCAGTTTTTTTGTAAACTTGAGTCTTTGAAGGTAGAAAAATTCACCCTCTTAATCTTGGTCACCTTGTGCATAAAATAACAGGAACGTTAAGTAGCAGAATCCTTTCCTGGTTAAAAATAAGTACATACAATGCAAAATTGGGGGATATTTGGAAAGTGTAGGGTTAAGTTTTACCACCAGGCTCTTACCTGGACTAGAAGTGTAGCTATATATGTTCCAGCCCTCCATCAAGAGCATTTTCGTCTTTTCACCTCTACAAAAGTATGAAAACACCATCTCTCATAAGTTCTATCTTTCTTGAAACTGATTTTTTTAGTTACTTAAGCTTATTTTTAGTTAATGAAACTTATTTTTTAGCTAGTTAAAAATTAGGCAAACAAGCAAGAGGTTAGGATAATTAAAGACGATGGAATAAGAGACAGATATGTTAGTGCCTAGGCCTACCCAGATAATTGTGGGGTTTTTGTTTTGTTTTATGATTGAATTTTGGCAAATCCACTTCTATACCATAGTTTTGTATTTCCTTAGGAGAAACATACATTGGATCATTCAGTGTTTTGGCATTACTTGATACCCTTAAATGTTCAAACCTTTGATATAAGATCTACCCCAGTAGAACTCTACTATGGAAAATATTGGAATTAAAGTCCAATTCTAGTAAAGTGGAACTAAGTGAAGAAAGGAGACATTTAGGGGGAAAAATGCTTTGGTTCTTTTACCTGAGGCTTTAAAAAATCAATTCACAAAATCACGTAATACAAATATTAACATCACAGTAAGCTGAGCATCCTTCAGAGAGAACAAGTATACAAACTGCCTTCTGAACAATGAGAATACACTTTGCCCTGAGACCTCACAAAACAGCATTCTCCTGCTGA